AGCAGTTTGCGCAGCAGTGTCTGGGCTCTGCCTGGGCCTTTTGTGGGCCTTGTTGGAAGTTGTGGAGACTTTCTGGGGACCCCCGAGGAACTAGACGGTGCTTGCTGCTAGCAGGAAGGGAGAGCTGGGCAAGGACTCCTGCAGGGGACCTTGACTTAACTTCTCCTGGGAAGTTCTAGCTAGGTGGGGCTGCTGCTAACGAGCTCTCTGGGCTGCCCTGGTCAGAGGGAGTTGGGGCTTTTGTTTCAGGTGGCTCCTGATTGGGTGGGTCAAGCACCCTTGTGAGTCACTGCTAGGCAGAGGCCTATATAAGAGCCAGGCCTAGAGCGCAGCTCCCAGAGCGCAGCCAACAGAGGCAGCGAACAGACGCAGCAGTTTGCGCAGCAGTGTCTGGGCTCTGCCTGGGCCTTTTGTGGGCCTTGTTGGAAGTTGTGGAGACTTTCTGGGGACCCCCGAGGAACTAGACGGTGCTTGCTGCTAGCAGGAAGGGAGAGCTGGGCAAGGACTCCTGCAGGGGACCTTGACTTAACTTCTCCTGGGAAGTTCTAGCTAGGTGGGGCTGCTGCTAACGAGCTCTCTGGGCTGCCCTGGTCAGAGGGAGTTGGGGCTTTTGTTTCAGGTGGCTCCTGATTGGGTGGGTCAAGCACCCTTGTGAGTCACTGCTAGGCAGAGGCCTATATAAGAGCCAGGCCTAGAGCGCAGCTCCCAGAGCGCAGCCAACAGAGGCAGCGAACAGACGCAGCAGTTTGCGCAGCAGTGTCTGGGCTCTGCCTGGGCCTTTTGTGGGCCTTGTTGGAAGTTGTGGAGACTTTCTGGGGACCCCCGAGGAACTAGACGGTGCTTGCTGCTAGCAGGAAGGGAGAGCTGGGCAAGGACTCCTGCAGGGGACCTTGACTTAACTTCTCCTGGGAAGTTCTAGCTAGGTGGGGCTGCTGCTAACGAGCTCTCTGGGCTGCCCTGGTCAGAGGGAGTTGGGGCTTTTGTTTCAGGTGGCTCCTGATTGGGTGGGTCAAGCACCCTTGTGAGTCACTGCTAGGCAGAGGCCTATATAAGAGCCAGGCCTAGAGCGCAGCTCCCAGAGCGCAGCCAACAGAGGCAGCGAACAGACGCAGCAGTTTGCGCAGCAGTGTCTGGGCTCTGCCTGGGCCTTTTGTGGGCCTTGTTGGAAGTTGTGGAGACTTTCTGGGGACCCCCGAGGAACTAGACGGTGCTTGCTGCTAGCAGGAAGGGAGAGCTGGGCAAGGACTCCTGCAGGGGACCTTGACTTAACTTCTCCTGGGAAGTTCTAGCTAGGTGGGGCTGCTGCTAACGAGCTCTCTGGGCTGCCCTGGTCAGAGGGAGTTGGGGCTTTTGTTTCAGGTGGCTCCTGATTGGGTGGGTCAAGCACCCTTGTGAGTCACTGCTAGGCAGAGGCCTATATAAGAGCCAGGCCTAGAGCGCAGCTCCCAGAGCGCAGCCAACAGAGGCAGCGAACAGACGCAGCAGTTTGCGCAGCAGTGTCTGGGCTCTGCCTGGGCCTTTTGTGGGCCTTGTTGGAAGTTGTGGAGACTTTCTGGGGACCCCCGAGGAACTAGACGGTGCTTGCTGCTAGCAGGAAGGGAGAGCTGGGCAAGGACTCCTGCAGGGGACCTTGACTTAACTTCTCCTGGGAAGTTCTAGCTAGGTGGGGCTGCTGCTAACGAGCTCTCTGGGCTGCCCTGGTCAGAGGGAGTTGGGGCTTTTGTTTCAGGTGGCTCCTGATTGGGTGGGTCAAGCACCCTTGTGAGTCACTGCTAGGCAGAGGCCTATATAAGAGCCAGGCCTAGAGCGCAGCTCCCAGAGCGCAGCCAACAGAGGCAGCGAACAGACGCAGCAGTTTGCGCAGCAGTGTCTGGGCTCTGCCTGGGCCTTTTGTGGGCCTTGTTGGAAGTTGTGGAGACTTTCTGGGGACCCCCGAGGAACTAGACGGTGCTTGCTGCTAGCAGGAAGGGAGAGCTGGGCAAGGACTCCTGCAGGGGACCTTGACTTAACTTCTCCTGGGAAGTTCTAGCTAGGTGGGGCTGCTGCTAACGAGCTCTCTGGGCTGCCCTGGTCAGAGGGAGTTGGGGCTTTTGTTTCAGGTGGCTCCTGATTGGGTGGGTCAAGCACCCTTGTGAGTCACTGCTAGGCAGAGGCCTATATAAGAGCCAGGCCTAGAGCGCAGCTCCCAGAGCGCAGCCAACAGAGGCAGCGAACAGACGCAGCAGTTTGCGCAGCAGTGTCTGGGCTCTGCCTGGGCCTTTTGTGGGCCTTGTTGGAAGTTGTGGAGACTTTCTGGGGACCCCCGAGGAACTAGACGGTGCTTGCTGCTAGCAGGAAGGGAGAGCTGGGCAAGGACTCCTGCAGGGGACCTTGACTTAACTTCTCCTGGGAAGTTCTAGCTAGGTGGGGCTGCTGCTAACGAGCTCTCTGGGCTGCCCTGGTCAGAGGGAGTTGGGGCTTTTGTTTCAGGTGGGACCTGCTGGAGAGCAGCTCTGCAGAGAAGGGCCTGGGAGTGCTGGTGGACAACAAGTTGACCATGAGCCAGCAGTGTGCCCTTGTGGCCAGGAAGGCCAAGGGTATCCTGGGCTGCATGAGGCAGAGTGTTGCCAGCAGGTGGAGGGAGGGGATCCTGCCCCTCTACTCAGCCCTGGGGAGGCCTCACCTGGAGTCCTGTGTCCAGTGCTGGGCTCCCCAGTACAAGAGAGACATGGCACTCCTGGAGAGAGTCCAGCGAAGGGCTACTGAGATGATGAGGGGACTGGAGCATCTCTCCTATGAGGAAAGGCTGAGGGAGCTGGGCCTGTTCAGCCTGGAGAAGAGAAGACTGAGAGGTGATCTCATAAACGTGTACAAGTATCTGAAGCGGGGGGTGTCAAGAGGATGAGGCCAGTCTCTTCTCCGTGGTTCCCAGGGACAGGACAAGAGGCAACGGGCACAAACTGAAAGACAGGAAGTTCTACCTAAACCTGAGAAAAAACTTCTTTCCTGTGAGGGTGACAGAGCCCTGGCACAGGTTGCCCAGAGAGGTAGTGGAGTCTCCTTCCCTGGAGATATTCAAAACCCATCTGGATGTGATCCTGGGCAATGTGCTCTAGAGGACCCTTCTTGAGCAGGGGGGTTGGACTAGATGATCTCCAGAGGTCCCTTCCAACCTCAACCGTTCTGTGATTCTGTGATTGTTTTTCTTGTAATCACACAGTGAATGGGCAGCTCAAGTCATTCCCCTCCTAAAAGATCTTGCTGGCTGTGCCCTCTGTATTGAGAGATGGAACAGGTATCAGTTACAAAACCTCTAACTGTTTTAGCTTGATTTTTTTTTTGATTTTTTAGGGGGTATGAGTGAATCTTTTTTTTTCTTTCTATCTGTGGCATAGGAGATATGGTTTCTGTGTCTGTAGAAGCTATCTAATTAGCATATTCCAGCAACTTATTGTTATTTGTTAATCTATACCTCCTTGTAGAATAAATGTTTTATGAATGGGGCACGAAAAGAAACAGCATAAAAGAAATTTAAGCCCAAGCTATTACCTGTTCTTGCAGCAGAGGGCACTGCCTTGCTGTTGGCCAGCAGCCCTCTTGGTCTGCTCAGAACTATTTCTTCACTTTTGCTGGAGAAACACCTTACAGAGCACCCTTTGTATTGACAGTTTATAATAGTAGCAGAAGTTTGTGGATTTCCATTTGCCATCGAAGAATTGACCAAAGTGGAGCAAGCATTGGCAAGTGAAAGAACAGAGAGATCTCTTGCTAAAGACATATTAAAACACATATTATTTATAAAGAATTATTTCTCAATTAAAAAGCTCTTTTAAATAACAAAAAGGGAGGGAAGCTTAGAGAGAAATTAAGAAGTTCATATTTTTCTGTCTGCAAGCACTTTTGCCAACACATAAGAATGTACATTTTTGTGCACTAAAAAAGATTGGATTTTTGTGAGATTTGCAAAAAGAACAATGCCAGAGCCTTGAAGAAAAGTCCTTGCAGATCAAGCATAGCACAGCTGAGTTTTGTAGCAAGTCACTTCAGCGTTTTTTTCAAACAGGAATTTCATCTTACAAATTTTCACAAGGAGCTTTGTCTTTCCAAAAAGAAAAGGCAGATGTACGTAAACAATACAGGGAACAATATTTCTAGCAAATGACTTTGAATGATCAGCCAGAATCCCTCAATACAAGATGAAATTTTTTTGTCATGTCAGTGCACTCTAACTGACGTCACTGGAGACCCATCAAAGTAGCTGATGGCCCAGTGTGGCTCAGTGTCATTGTTTGGTCTGACTGGAGGATATGAGTGGGACAGCTCTGCAACAATATTTACTTTGCAAAATAATTTCCCCTGATGAAAACAAATCAAAAGCAACGTAGCAAATGCCCTGTTGAATGGCAACTTTGCAATGCTATTGTGAATGCAAGTGCCTGCCTTTGTATTGTGCTGAGAATGGGCCAACAGTTTTTTCCAATAAAATAAAAAACATGATGTAATACCATGTGTACACCCTGGCAAGAGTGGCATTCACTATTCCGCAGACCCAGATCTTTTCTCCTTGTAGAGATTTATGCTTGTATTTAGGTGCCAGAAGGGGATTTGTGGCAAGGCCATTGAAAGGCACAAACAAGGTGTACAACGTGTATGGTCACGTAGTCCTTTGGAGGACTGACCCTCAGCTGGACTTGCCACCAAAACAGTGGCTACTGGGGCCACTGAAACAGATTACCCCAAAAAATCCTTCAAACAGTGTCTACCTCTAAAAGGTCAGTCTTTACAGGACTTTTACAAGAGGTGGCCACACTGTTTTAAGTGCTAAGGTTATTTTCTGTTCTTTATGTAGAAGACAGTCGTGCTCAAGTGCAATGCTCAAATAGCTAGTCACAAACAATTTTGGTGTTTTTTTTTCTATTGTATCATCTTGTCAGCTGGTATCTCATAACTGATTCAGTTCAGAGGGTCTGTTCTGTTTAGTATTATCTTTTTCCTCTGTCTCTAAAATGCAGGTGGTCCGACCATACCAGACGATGTCCAATCCCATGAGTAAGTTGACAGTGCTCAACAGTATGCATTCTCATTTTATTTTGGCTGACAATGGCACTACTGGCAAATATGGAGCAGAGGTGAAACTTCGTAGACAGCTGGAAAAGCACATTTCACTTCAGAAGATAAATACAAGTGAGTAACATTTTACCTGTATTGATTTATAATTACAATTGTATCGAGGACACTAGGAGTTTGAAAAGCAATAAGGTCTGTATATTTTTAGAATTCTGCTATCTAAAATGGTGAACATGAGTTAATAAAAGTAAATAATGGTGAACAAAGCTAATACAATTTGATTCTAGAGTACTGTGGGTGATAGTACAGCACAAATTAAATAGCTGAATGGGTTTCTGGTAGCTTACAAACAGTCTTTGTTAAGGCTCCTCGGTTCAACTTAGATATAAATCTTTACTACCATCTCCTTAAAACTGTATACAGTTCTGGTCCCCTTCATCTCATAAAGAAAATAATAGAATTAGAGAAGGTACAGAAAAGGGTGACAAAAAGTGAGAGAGTTTTCTATGAGGTGTGACTAAGCAGAAAAGGACTTTTCAGCCTGGAAAAGAGATGACTGAGATAGAGGTGTAGGAAATCCTGCATGGCACAGAAGTTGCAGAAGTGATGGTTCATTCCTATTCAGAATATAAGAGCTGTGGGATTCAAATGAAATTAGCAGGTAGCAGGTTTCAAACACAGGAGGTAATTCTTCACATAATATGTAGAATTCATTACCACAAGCTACTGCAGACACCTAAACTTAAACATATTCAGAAAATTTCTCTGTAAGTCATGGAAGAAAAATCCATTAATGGCCATCCCCTTTTATTCCCCACAACTCAAGTAGTCCCTGAGCCATAGATATTAAGAGGCAGAGAGGATATCTCAGAGAAATGACACTATATGTTTGCACTGGGTTTATCATTTTTTCTTAGTCAGCTGTCATTGGCCACTGTCAGAGAGAGCATATGAGATTAGATGATCCTTTGGTCTGACCTGTTATGATCATTTCTGCAATGATCTATTCCATGTCATGATCAGACTGGAGCCCAAATTTTTCTCTGATATATATTTATAATCATGTACCACTTTCCCACATAAAATGCAGGAAAAAATAATCCCTCAAGTAAGTACCTCTGCTTGGATAAAATAAAAGATATTTTGACCTGAACATACCTGTTATTGTAACCATCTTTTCATAGCCCAAACTGAGAAACATTTTGGTGTTTTGTTTTTTTTATTGCTATTTCTGTAATATTACAGATGCTTAATTTAGGCTAGGAGATAATTTTTTTCTAAATGTTTTGGATTTTTCTTGCTTCTATTTACATTCTTTTAGTTGATGGAAACTTTAGTTGATGCAATCAAAGGAGAAAAGGATCAGCTCTGGAAACTGAACCTGTGCCCTGCATAGGGAACAAATCTTCAGTTTGAACATTAGCCAGGCAGGACTTCCTCAGTCTTAAAAGCAAACCTCAGCATTGACCTGTATAAGCTAAGTTTAGGAATGAAAACAGAACTCAATTTTCAGCCTTTCTGCTGATAACTCCCTGTAAACATGCAATTTTAAGGCCAGGAAGGTTGATGTTTTTTGTGATACAGGCACTTGAAACTGGAATGAGACCAGGAAACACATTTAGCCTCTCAGCCATCAGACAATAATGAATTACAGACAGGCCCAAAGGGCTGAATGCAAAACAGTGTGTTGGTAGTGCTTGATATAGCTTTCTATATCAAGATTACAGTATGTGCTTAAATTAAAACGGTGTGCTACTTAGATCTTTCAGCATCACTGCACAAATAGAGTGATTTCATGCCACAGTAAATCAAAATGGGAGGAATCCAAGCTTATTGTTTTTACGATATCAGTGTGTATATCACTTTTTCTCAGATAGTGGTGTGTATATAATCCTTAGCAGTGCGTGCATGTGAGTGTCCTTAGCAGATGGAGATACTATGATCTAAACCTAGATTGACCAGCATTAATATGTCACATTTGAGAGTGACATATATGATGTAATCAAATTATAGAAAACTGTGCCATAAATAATAATTATTTTTAGACCATTTATGAGAAAAAGGTGAGCATATTCAGTTTACAGGACAAAATTGTTTTAAGAAAACTTCATATTAAAATACAAATCTCTTTAGAGATTTACTTAATTCAGGTTTAGATAAAAGGTGGTTCAAATCAAATGCTTACCTGACCTCATCAAAAAACTACAAAGCCATGAAGGATCTCTCTTCTCTGGTTTCTATCTGAAGCCCCCCCCGGCAAGGATATATACATTTTTTTCTTCTCTGTTCTAGGTGGCAGTCACTCTATCATTTAACCTCTCCCTCCCATATCTCTCTCTCTTGTAAATATAAGAATACTTGGGTCTCACGACACTTCTTCAAAGACAGAAATGTGAGAGGACTGTTAAATGGGAAGGTTGCTGGTGAGATTTATAGAGCTTGGTTCAGTGACGTCCAGAATTTTTCCTGGTTTGTAGATCTGAGTGATGATATAACTTCAGCAAACAAAATACCTAGCACTGTAAGGATTTGGAAGTTCCTTGTCTCTGCCTTGCGTTGCTTTCTTTTGCTTTAAAAGAAGGTGACTGAGTTTTGGCCTGCCTCTAGTGAGTAGAGAGGTGACCATATGGTCGAAATGAGGAACATCTGCCCTGGTGGGTCAGCCAAGCAGATGGCCACTTTCTGCTGCCTTTCCCATGCCCATCCTAGCAGGGTAGGGACTTCCCTGGCCCAGCATGGGCAGTGGCACTGCTGCGGGGGAGACCTTTGGCTGAAGGGCAGCACGTGCAGCCATGCATGCGTGTCCTTATTTACTGCTTTTCAGTAGTCAACATGTGGAGTGGGAAAAAAAAAAACACTGACAGCATCAGACTTCTGTTCTCCGGAAAGTCAGGAAAAGGTACAATTTTTAAAAATCCTACTTCAAGTTTAAATCTTTTGACTTTGTGCTAATTGTTACTTATTTATAATATGCAGTTCATTCTTCTTGTTTGCATTAAGGCCTTCACTTCATGTGGTATAATCATTACTATTAATTGAAATCAGACTCAAATCCTTAAACAGCTTTGAGCGTAGTTGCCAAGTACTTCCATCATGAATGCGCTACTTTCCTTCGTATGAATGATCTTACTTGAGCAGTGGGGAAAGGCAAGAAAACAATTGATCCATACGTATAAGATGGTCACATGTAGGCTATATAAAAGCATCAAAATTGAGTAAAAGAGGTTGTGAATTAATTAGAAATACTGTCAGTTTCTCTTTAAAAGAACATTTATAATTATTTGTCACCAGAATCAGAATTTGGAGACACAGCATAGAAAGCATACATGCACCTACAGTGTATTTCAGGAAGCATGCAATTATTCTTTTTGTTTTTGCATATATCAGTACATATATACCAACAGACATAAACTGAGTATGGCAATGAATCTATGTACTGTGCCATTCTTGCCAGCTACTTTTTTATAATTAAGACTATTCTTAAAAGAAAGCCATACAGTAAGAAAAGTGCATTGTTTTATAGAGTGATATTTTGTAGCCTGAATAAATACCTATGAGAATGGAGCAGTGATTTCAGCCTATTTCCTTTTACTTTGGCTTTTATTTGGAAACTGAACGAATCCCATTTCAATTAGGCTTCCATGGCACTTACACCCATGGTTTATGTTTACCAAATATCATATTGTTCAGGCATTTTGGGATCCAGTTGCCATCTGGTTGCACAGGTTATGTTCAACAAAGGGAAAGTAAACATTTTCAGTAGAGGGTAATTGGTTTTTTATAATTGGAAAAGTCAAGTAAACAACAAATACTATAGCTTTCTGCTAACTGCACAAAAGCATCAAATCTGCCAATTTTTTGCTCTATTCTATTAACAAATATTTTTACTTCATTTACAGGGGTCTTTTTTGTTTAGATATGTGTTTGGCATGTGTTAGAGAGGGATAATTTACTCTCAGTAGTGGTTAGAAGTGCAGAATAAGGGCTTTGTAAGATATTTGCAAATCTGACGAATAGCCTTGTAAACATTTTCATCATGTGTTAATGACATTTTTCTTTTAAATCCAGACCTCATTGTTTGTATTGAAAACTCCATCTATCAAAAGATTTAAATCTTGGTCAGAGTACTGCCAGAATTTTCTGTTCTCTGTAACTATCTGACTGAGACTTTACATCTTTAAAATTTGCTTTGGGAAGAGGTAAAGTCCAACCAGGGAGGTGGTGGTGTTCACATTAGGATTAACAGTTGCCCTCAGGGATTAAAATGTAAAAAAGATCTAATGATTGCTCTAATGATTTAAAAGAAGCTTATTTGCTAGTCTGCTTGAAAATTAATTTAATACCAGAAGTCGCTACTTAGATTTATGCCATTTTACATTATGAGGCATAATCTTGAGGAAAGGAAGTGATGAAGCAAAAGGACTTCACTCTCATCAGCAGTGAAAATGACAAGGATCGATAATGTAGCCTAGACAGTAGCATAGCCTTTACTGATGGGAAAAAACAAAGACATTTTTCACTATGAAAAGTCTTTATTCTTCATAAAACTACCACCTTCCTCTTCAGGAACAGCTGTCTGAACATTTCACAGTTGTGCAGAAAAAAAAGGACCTTTTTGGAGTTTTTTTTAAATATTCTTTTTCCCAAAAGACCCCAAAATCAAGTAAAAATGAGGATATGTATGAAATACATATTTGAAACAGCAATGTTAAGCCAACAGACATAACAGCAAAGCATATTTAATTATAAGTGGTGTCTTTCAAAAAAACAGTAGTTTGGTTTATTTTGCATCTTTCATAAACTCTCTTAAT